TAAACAAGTTGTCATTATATGCTAAGCATGTTTCTATACATTTCCATTAGACCAGTGGTTCTTAACCTGGGTTCGATCGAACCCCAGGGGTTCGATGAATCGGTCCCAGGGGTTCGGCGGAGCCTCTGCTGCGGAGGTAAAGACACACTTGTGTAAAGTCGTTTTGACGCGCCCCGTTTTGCCGTCCCTTGCTGTAGAGGATCACATTACATTGCTTAGCCAATCTAGCCAATCAGTGCTGTGGAGGAGCACTGATTGAAGGAGTTCCACCATAGACATAATATAAGCATAGACGCCTCATGGACTGCTCTCGCCTATTGTCACTGACGAGATTTAGGGCGGCCATCTTGGAGCGGTACACCACTCCACTCAGCTATGTGTTTAGCAGGCACAATGATGTATCAGCGCATTTAATCGATCATAACACACTTTTTTTTGTTACTGGAAACCGTATTCATACATCTATCAAAGCTACATTTATAAACAATTGTATTTTTAAGTATGTTTTTAATACATAGTTCATCATATTTAAATATGCTTAGTGGCTATAACAATAGATGTATGAAGAGCATATTACAAAGCACACAGCGTTCATAATTTATTTAATAAATTATTTAGTAATATTAATACATATTTATATAACTATACAAACACTAATAAATAAAGATCCATAATGGCACAAATAAATAATGATTAATACTGAATAATATATTGTCTTGAATTTGGGGGAAAAAAATCTGATTTTACTTATCACTACAGAAGGGTTCAGTGATTGCGCATAAGGAACTGGTGGGTTCGGTACCTCAAAAAAGGTTAAGAACCACTGCATTAGACTATTTTTCCCATAAATCTTTTCTTGCCTAAGGTGAATTCTGACTTTCTTCAACAAAGGTAAATGAGTAAAGAATTGGGAGAACCAATGATCATCCAGTCATTATTTTTAAATAGATTGAAGGTTGATGGTTTATGCATGCCATAAGGCATCAGCTTTCAAGAATATACAAAACGTAGCTGGAGCACAACACAGCGTTACATTTCTGACATCGGCAGAGCAAGAAATTGGACAGCCAGAGAGAAGAAGAGGAAGAGGAGTGAGGCTGTGGCATAAGAAAGCAGAAGAGACAGAGGACACATGCCAGTTTCCATCGCTCCAATATCTTCAGGCAATGGTTTGTGACCCACAACAGGAGCGTGTTGGAGTTTTCCAAAATTCTTCAACTCTATAGAGGAATTTTTTTCAGCATCGAGATGGAGAGTATACGATTGCCAGATGACCCTTCCAGCTGCCATGGATGCAGCATGTGATGCCTTCACCGTAGATGCAAGCAGAGGCTGGCTAAGACACTCTGAAGGATTCGTTCCACTCTGCACTGGAAGAGAAAATGTCATTTGGGATGTGGATGAAAGTTTGTGGCCCAACCACCACTTCAAGAGGCGTAGGAAGACTACATAGTAATTCCTGCAGCAGTGCGTGAATTGTTATTCTTAAGGAGATTGTGTGTTCCCATTTCTACTTGTGTTTGTTTTTCCTCTAACTTTTCCTTTCTGTGTCGCAAAGACAAGATATGTCAACAAGTGACGGTAAAAGCACAAATGTGAATCTTGCCGTTAATTTCCCACAATTACAACTTACAGTACGTTTCATAAACACTTTAGCCAGAGTTTACATCAGAACATAGCACCAGAGTACACTGTTGTACTGACAACAGTGTGCTACAGTGTCATACAGTGTTGACATGTTCCTCATGTCAACACTGTATGACAAAGCAATTTGAGTGTTATATCTGTACACAGACACAAGGACTGAGTCGCTATCATTCTGAGGCTCTGACATGTTCGTTGATATATATTTACTTTTGAAATATGAACTAAGGATTTTGACCAAGAGACTGGTTTTTGCAGGTAATCTGTAGCGTTTTTAAGTATCTTAACAGTTTTTCTCAGTTGCTTTGGTGCATTTGTCAAATCATCCTTGACATTTGCAAAATAGTAAGTGCATTTCACAAAACAATTTGTGCAAACAGAAATACACCATGGATTACCTACAGAAGTCAGTTTCTTTTTTAAAAAAATACCTAAATTCATCTCTCAAAAGTAAATATCTGTCGATAAACATGTCAGAGCTTCAATATGACAAGTCTTTGTTTCAGAATAATGAGATGTTGTTTGCCAAATAGTGATACACTATTGCCAAATAGGAACATGCAGTTACCAAATAGTGAGATAATGTTGCCAAATAGTGACGTGGTCCCAAATAGTGACAGTTGTCAAACATATTGTTAACTACTTATTGGTTCATATTGTGACACTATTGCCAATTATTGTGGTGCTGTTACTAAAGTGTGCAATGCTTTTTCCAAAAGTTGCCAAATACTGAGATAATGTTGCCAAGTATCGAGATGTTGTTGCCAAATAGCACAATGATCTTGCCAAATGTTGCGACGCTGGTGCCAAATAAGATTCTATTGCCAAATATTGAGATATTGTTGCTAAATAGTGAGACGTTGTTGCCAAGCAGTGACACAGTGTTGCTAAATAGTGTGATGCTGTTGCCAAATAATGAAACGCTGTTACCAAATAGCAAGTTCCTGCTGCCAAGCTGTGCGATGCTGTTGCAGAATGTTGCAGCGTTGTTGCCAAATGGTGCAGCACTATTGTCAAATGTTCAACACTGTTGCCAAAGTGAGATCCTGTTGCCAAATATTGAGATGTTATTGCCAAATGGTGAGACGTTGTTGCCAAATAATGATACACTGTTGCCAAATAGTGAAACACTGTTGCCAAATAGTGAGGCATGGTTCCAAATAGTGATAAGCTGTTACCATTCATATTGCGACACTGCTGCCAATTATTGTGACGCTGTGGCAGATCAGTACGCAATGAATAGTGCAATGCTGTTGACAATTAATGAGATGCTGTTGTTAAATAGTGACACACTGTTGCCAAATAGTACATTGCTGTTGCCAAATGTTGCAACGCTGTTGCCGAAGTGTTCATCATGTCAACACTGTATGTCAAGATTCCAATGGCCTTTGGGAAAAGAAACAGACCCACAGCATCACCGGGCCTTACCACGCTGAACAGTGGACATGAGGCCATTCTACACAATTATCCTCTGTTTCACATCAACCCACTCTGGTTTGTTTGTTGCCAAAAACCCAGTCTCAAACCTAGCACACACTCTGCAGATCAGAAAAAAAAAAAAATCATACAGAACATGTCGTGGAAGTTGCCTGACTTCACTACTTGTTGCTGCAGTAAAATGTTGTTGACGGTTGTTAATGCACTTGTTGTGAGACACAGATGCTGAAAAGAGGGAGGAGGGAAAGAAGACTATGGCATAGAGAGGAACATGTCAGGACACGATTCTCCCCAGAAAATATTAGATACTGCCAGATATTAGTCATAGGCTGTCTATGGTTGTGGGAACTCTAAAAAGGCAGTCAGTGCATCTATCAAGCTGAACCGCTGCAGACCACCAATTTAAGCTCACCACTAGAGATCATCTTTCACAACAAAAGACTTTGGCCAAGACAGCCCATAATTGTAAAGTGTGAATCCAGCTTCAGTTTACTCTGTCTGAAGAACAAAGATCCAGGTAAAGTCTGAGCACTGTAGCAATGATAGAGGCCATCTAAAATCTGTCTTATAAAGACAGAAAAATTATGTAAAATTAATATTTTTGAGCTTTACATCATGTTATAAATATAGACTTGGTGACACCAGCCTTTGTAGTTTCTTTTATTTTCCTCTTAATCACAAATGTAATCACATTAAAGATGTTTGTTTTTAATAAAGTCACTGGAATGGCTATGTGAAAAACGGCAACGTTTCTAATAAATTACAGTGAGAAACAACGCTTCGTTGCTACTCTGTTTCACATTTGGCGCACAACAAATAGTTGTACTTTCTCCATGAATAAAGAACATAAAAAGAACTTTTGACCCAGAAAAAGTGAAAGCTAATTGGCTTGCTGGTGCTTCTGTGACTTTGCAGACGTCGTCGACGCGGTGCCAGTGCTGCGGGAGGTAGGTGCCCATTTGATGGCAAGAGCCTTGTTATATTTCTTCCTGTCAGCCGCCTCAGCAGAAAAGCTGTGTAGGTTTAACAATGTTGACATGTTGACTATCTGTCTGTCTTAATACATGCTGTTTGTAAGTGGGTGATTAAAGGGAGTGAATGCCTTTCCACGTGGCAGTCCAAGGACGCAGTTCAAAGCTTCGCTGGGTGTCAATCGAGCTCTTTGAAGCCTCTTGTCTCAGTCCTTTGAAAGGGTAGATTTAGCAAAATGTGTGGAGCAACTGCATCAGCGTCTCCGTGCACAGTTTGCTCTCCTCTGAGGAGTCAGAAGAGGAAATGCTTCCCTTATGTGTATTAACTGTATACCCCAATTCCCCCCAAACTTTTCCTCCTTTGCCACAGAAGACCTGCTTTTATTTTTTTGCCTCCCAGAACACCTCCTCTTCCCTGAAACACAGTATCACTGTATTTTAAGGCCAGGCTAGTGTTGCTTACAGCCACATTAACATGGCAAACTCGGCGTGACAGCAGTTTTGCTACACTGCTGTTGTGATGGAGGGAATATGCTCGCAGTTTGGGCTGCTCTGGGGGGAGGGAAGCGGTTTCCTCCAAAGTATGTTATTGCGTCGCCTCTAGAGGAGCCCCAGGGAAGGAGGAGGGGGAGTCATGAGATAGGGAGGAGGGACGGGACGGGAGGGGAGTGGAAACGGTGCTGTGGGGCAGAGGCTGGAGGTGAGCTCAATTCAAGGTTCAAAGCCTCCGAATGTGAATGTGAGTGGAGAGTAAGCCAGGGCTGGGAGGGGCTGTGAGGCTGACAGCACCGGGGAGCTTGGATGCTGTGTGTGCTGGAGTAAATGGGCCTTGGCGGGTTGACAGTCACTCCGCACATGTGTTTGACCGAGAGAGGCAGCGGCAGAGCTGGGCTTATTGGAAAAGACAGGAAGAGCACTGCAATCAGCTTTTCCCTCCTGTGCGGGGAGGGAGGGTTGGGATGCAGAATTACATGAATTAAACCGAAAGCGGAGCGAGCGGTGGCTTCGGAGTGAGCAATCTAATACCTGTTGCGTCATTCGAGAGCTTCTTGGTTAAATCGTTGTCAACTAACAATTTTCCACTGAAAAGTGGAAGGTTGATTGAGAACGGATAGCGAGCAAGTCAAAGTCCTCTAGCGTAGCAGACACGGTCAACCTAAAATTTGTACACACTCCTGTTGAAATCAATTCGGAGCTTTTCACACCTTTAATGTGGCAAATATTACAAACAACATCTGCTAAAAGATAAAAAAAAAACAACAACAACAAAACAAAAATCGTCTGGTTGCATAAGTGAGCAAAACCATTTGCATCCTTCAGATCAGCGTTTCTAAACCCTGGTCCTCAGGGCCCTCTGTCCTTCATGTTCTAGATGCCTCTCTAATCCAGCACACCTGATTCAAAGGATTAAATTACCTGCTCAGCATGCCATCGAATGCTGCAGAAGCTTTCTAATCACTCAGTTATTTAAGTCAGGTGGGAGGCAGAAGGAAAACACCTAAAGCTTGCAGGACACTAGGGCCTGAGGAGAGGGGTTAAGAAACGCCGCTTTAGACAAAACTACAGATGCAGAGAGTATAAGACAAGAGCACATTAAAAAAACACCTACAGAAACATTAAAAAGACAAACAGATGGTTGAAAAAGGAAGCCAAGGAGTTGAGATTCAAAGCCTTAGTGGTGCCAGTGGTCATTTTGTGCACTTTGAACCAAAGTAGGAGGGTGGCAGCTGCAGACTCCTGGATCACCCAGTAAAGCAAAACTGCAAAGAGCGCTCGACGTCCCAGGGTCTGACAGGAAACCTGAATATGAAGTGGAGTCACTCAGGTGAGTGGGAAGTTGGAGGGACCTAAAGATGAGATGATAGAAAGAGGCTGACCAACTCCATCACCAAAGAAAAATCTTTAAAATACCAGCAGAAACATGCAAGAAGATGCTCAGGAATTACAAGAAGATTTTGATTGTTGTCTTGCTAGTAAAGGTAGATTTTCTTTTAGTATTTTTGTCCATGACCCTGCAAGGGCAAAACAGTAGTTTGTAAAATGTTTTGTGCCAAGAACAAGAGTTAAAAAAAAAAACTACCTGATGCTAATTTTTATATTATTGTCATGCAAAAGACAATAATAATAATAATTTATTGTAAATAAATAAACTCAATACCTGTCAAAATGTCACTCTAGTATTGATTTAAAATAGCATTTTTAAACATATTTAATCATTCAAGGAACCTTGAAAATTGAAAATGAGTGTGCCTTTAGTCTGTTTGCTTTATGAGCAGGCACTGAAACAACAACTTGCTTCTTTCTCTTCTTTCTGGCGCCAAAGTAAATAAAACAGACAAATTAAATTTTAATAAAAATGACATGCTCACTCAGCTGTAAATTACATGGAGCTGGAAAGCTCGCTTCTGTTCCTGTAGCAATATAACAGCTGCAGTTTTTTTTTTTTTAAGGCTTGAGCTGGAAATTAAAACATCCCTGAGCTTATCAAATTTCTATAAAAAGCTAGGTTAATATGAGGCTCGTATTGTTACCTTACTGCCTCGATGACCTTGAAGCTTAATTTAAACCGTCTGTGTGGAGGTTTTTTTTTTTAATGTCTTAATAATGACAGTTTCTCCCCTGGCTTGCAGTAAGCATTCATTTACTTTTCCCATTAATCTTTTGCGTAATTATTGTCTCAACAGAAAAGTGGAAAATTATGAATAACAGAAAAAAAAAACACCTTTACACAGATGGGTACAAACAAAACTCAAAAATGCAGAAACATTCAATAAACTGTCTGATCAATTTTATTGCAGCCTGGGGGAGATTTTTATTAATCTAGCTGCTAAATACAACTATAGCACAGCTGCAGTCTTTTCCCCGCCCCCTCCTTTATTATTATTATAGCAACAAGCCAAGAGCCAGGTGTTCATTTTGGCAGGTAACAGAAGTGCACGTTGTCATAGAGAATAATTACTAGCAGCTCCACTTAACTTCAAACTCCTCTCTGTGTCATTAAAAACAGGTAGCACAACCTGTTTCTAATATTCCAAAATACCCATCAGAGGGTAAAGATTGCTCAGTGTGCTGATGATATAATAAGCCATAATCACTTGTAGGCTGTTATAGTCACTGAAATATTTTTTGAAGCAAAACAACTTTATGTATATTTGTTTTTAGCAGAGACTTCTAGAAGAGGATTTACATACCTCTGCTGTGTAGCAGGAAAGCATGTCTGCATGTTTTTCCATGTTATGTCCAAACAGTCTCTACGGGGAGCAGAAGGAGTAAGGTCAGTGTTTTGCAAGGGGTGTGAGGTAGAGGATTTTACACATTTCCATTATGGTGAACAAACTTGGGTAACCAGAATGGAAGGAAAAGGCAGGTGATTAGTATTATTATTATTTAATTGCTCACTCTCTTTGTGTTTCAGTTTTCGCCGGGAAATGGTTGTGGAGCAGCTGCTTTGAGGTGAAAGCAAGACCGTGAAAATGTAGACTTTGCTCTCTTTTTCACATGTCGTGCTGCTCAGTGCTAGCTGATTGCTGGGAAATCTGTTCACCAGAGCGTGTTTGTTTTTCCACCTAATTCATACGATTATGCCATGCTAATTTGGCTAGCTTTGTTTACTCACTCAGGCCTAGTTTCACTGCGGTGTCAAGAGGACTCCCGCTGCTTTTGTGTTTGGTAATCCTATCAGAAAGATGCTTGAGATGAGGAAAGCACGTTCTTGACCGGGTGCCACAGCAAAGAGGCAAAAAAAAAAGAGGAAGAAGAAGAATAAGGAAAAAAAAAAAATCAAATTCTTAAACGAGTCTGCAATTAGACATGTTCTCCAAGAGAGCTGCAGCACAATGATAATTCTAGTTCATTTGCAGGAGTCAACCCTGTTAATGTAGCTGTTAAACTGACGAGGGAGGATGAATGTTTTACTGATTTGGCCACACTTCAAAATGTAATGATAGGAAGGAGAGTAGAGAGAATGTGCCAACAATTTACAGGAATTTTGTCTCAAAGGTTCGTCCAACAGAAGGTAAAATATAGGGGTATTGTAAGGTAAAATGGAGTAAGATAAATGACGGTGTGCAATTAAAATCATTGCTGAACTCAAGACAAGTTCAGCAACTACAACAGTTAGGTATAACAAATAAAATGATAAATGCTCATGATTGCATAAAAAATACTTTAGTTGGCTAAATGTTCTTGTAATATTGGTCTGTCTGTGGTTCAGGTGTTACCAGAAAGCTAAATGTTTCAATATTTGGTGAAGGAAGCAAACGAGACAAAACCTGTTTATATTCCATTCCACAGAGAAAACTAGAAGGAGGAGGAGGTGAAATAAAAAATTATGGTTTTTAAAAAAAATAATACGGTAGACTCACTTTATCATTCTTTTGCTAAAAGACATCATCTGTTTCACAGCATGGGATATATTTGGACAATAACTTCAAAACAAAACTACAAACTGGGGAATATCCAGGTGATTGTTCATCCTGATTTTTTTTTCTTTTTGTACAAATAACCATTTACAAACAATAAGTTCAATATGACGCTTCATTAAATTTAATGCACTGTATTTTCTTGACAACTTTGGAGCTACACAGTTCAGTACAAGCACATCACTGTTCATCAGTATTGTGACTTTGAGATATTTAGTTCATTCATCAGTGATTTCCAGACGCTTAAGCTTTCTCTGTTAGTAACACGTTTCTCATACTGATGACAACAATATGCATACGAGTTGGTTGAAGAGCTGGGTTAGCGTTGGCATGCTTTTTTTTTTTTGATACAACTCATTGATAATTCAACATGTGACGTATTTCAATGAAGTTTCACTAATTTTGAGGAGTTTTCATTATTAATGCAACACTATTTTGAGCATCAAAAATATTGAATGGGTAGCATTTCAAGTAGTCTTCCCTTTCCCACAGAGTGTGGAGCAGGGCATATGAGACAGAGACACGAATCTGCAGCAGGAAAAACAATTGATCTTTCACTGATCATTTAAAAGTGCCCTCATTGGAAAACCCTAAATGAAGTGAAATAACCTCACTTTGTTCCACTATGTCTACTCGATTGACTCCGAGATTCAGAGCTGTTGTCTAAAACACGCAGTATTCATTGTTCATATTATCTACATTCTGTACATGGCAAGTGATCAAAAAACAAAATGGGCCAGCAAGAAATTAGACCCACTTGGCATCAATTTTACACCATCTGCTTTTATTTCCACGCCCGCTGGGTCGGTTGAGTGTGAAGCTTTGTTTGGCTCAAACCGGGCAGGGCGATCAATTAAACTTTTGACCTCCCGTCAAAAAATATTGATGAAGAGCAGAGGAACTTCCAAAGATTTTCTATGCCACGAGTTTATCTACAAGTTTGATTGATCACCTCAACAGGGGCGAGTCTTAATCTATAGAATAAAAGACATTTCACCACTCAATGTTTGTGAGCTCAATAACGAAATCCAGGTAGGGATGTCTTTGTCGCAGTATGAAATAAATTTCTATAATTTGCTTTTTTTGGCAGAGGTATAATCTCAATCTGAACATTCTGAAAAATCCATTCTTTAATTTAAGATATACAAATTCTTCATCTTAAAAGAAAAATATGACTGGTGCCACCATTGAGTCATTATACCTGCAAGTTAAAATGATGCTTTAATTTTTAAAGTTGAAAAACGTCGGCAGCACAAAAGCTCATTGTTCAAGAATTATATCAAAGAATGATAAAGTCTTGTGACCAAATGCTTTCTGTGTGCGAGACAAAAAAAAAATGTAATCTGTCTCTGAAAATATAAAATGTGCCAAAGTCAGGTGGGTTTGGCATAAGGTAATGGATAAGCATGTTTTGGATGTATGCAGTGCATCCAAAAAAAAAAAAACAGATGAAAAAGCCCGCACAGAAATGATTTAAAAATAAAATCAACCCTTTTTTATTTGTATTTAAGACCTCAGGCCTAAGTTTAGTAGAAAACCTTCAGGAAAAAAACTGAAGAAAAAAAAAAAACCGCGGAAGAGAGAATCCCAAACTCTAGATGATTTGGAACGGAAAGAAGAATGGCTAAAATGCCTCTCTGTACGCTCAGACCTTGTGAAACGTTAAAGACGACGAACGGGTGTCTTGATGGAAAAAGAGGCCTGTTCAACATACTGTCAGCAGCAGTACCAGTTTACAAAGTGGCCATCGGTGGGTCCTTCACATTCCTCCCTTTAAAATATCTCGATTATTTATGGCTCTCGACTTAAAAAGGAAAATCAAGCCATACAAATGCCAGACACACAGATGGACAGAAACATAAAGTTAGAATTGGCTCAAATATGGGAATTCGGAGTGCTTTCTTTCCCTTTCGCTACCTCTAATGAAGCCTTCTCAGATGGGAACAAGCAGTGAGACTCGTGTTGTTAAAGCACAGCCGCTAAACCCCCCCTGTGGACCCACGTAACAAACTGTGTCATTAAAAATTAACTTTGGAAGGAAGAAACTTCGTCACAGAGGAGAGAAGAGGCAGCAGATCATCCAGACCTGAAGTTCTCAGGGCAGGGGACTGACCGACGCACCTGGTTGTATTTTTATTGTTTTTAACCAAATGTTACCCACAATGCAGCAGAAAGCAAAGGAGCTCTCCAAGACCAGTCCTATCATGAGCAAAGAAACGGAGCAAATTTTAACTAATAGGGTCTGACATGCAGCAACTGATTGCAACAATACCGGGGCCATTTCTTTGTCTGTCTTGTCAAAACGTCCTTGAAGGCTCCAGATGGTCTGGCACATTACGAGGATCGTGTCTTGTTGGATGAAGTGAGAGCCATTCCCAGCTTGTTTTACAGCCCAAACAATTTCTCGTGTTCTCCCAGCTTATCGCTTGACTAAAAAAAAAAAGAAAGAAAAGAAAAGAAGTACTCGCCTAATCTTCATGCTGTGAAAATGGAAGACATTAAAGAAATCTGAAAAAGCTGTATTTTTGAGAGCTGAAACAAAACAAACTGGTTTGCATATTTTAAATAAACCTTCCCAGCTTTACTCCCATTGGTCCTCTGGTCTTACTCATACATCACTTTAAAACTGTCTTCAAGCCTGAGGTGGAAACTTGCCCCCCTGTGGCCACAAGGTTACTCGCAACCACACTATGTGTTTTCTGATTCTGTTTAAAGACTTATTTATTTTATCCCACTAAACCTAAACAAAACTCAGCATTGCAAATTTAGATAATCTACGGTGCAGTAGAGCAATAGTGTCCCATTCCCAACACATTTCTTAAAGGTTTCAGATCATCAATAAATTGCAGCTTGAAAAAATACAGTTGAGTTTTCACGTTTAAGAGTGGAGAAAACATGAACCATCTCAGGAGAGGTTGCTCTATTAAAAATGAACAACGGCTCAAAAGAACTGCACAGCTCTCTTGACTCAGGTAAATTTTTTCAAACATCTTGATGATCCTCAAGAATTTTGGGAAATTAGCTGAAGTAGTTTGTAAAGGAAGCATCCCATTATCTGGCGTGAAATGGACACAGCGTTTTAGAAAATGTGCATCGGCCATTTGTTATTAATGTTGTTTTTACAATAACGTGAAAATAATAAATGTTTGTATTCATAAACAGCAAATCTATCAGATAACACAAGGATTTGAGAGCTAGCTGTTTTTTAATGTACTGAAAGGAAGATAAAAGTATGTACTAAAAGTTACATTAGGGAGGGAAAAAACAAAATGTGATGTGATTTTGCCTTTTTAAGGAAGTGGGGAAAAAAACTGATGTATTTGCTTTAAATCGATTTTCTTTTTAGTAATATCCTGTCAGCCTTAACTTGCTGAATTTTGGGTTGGGACACAAGAATCCAAAAGTTTAATGCTGACAGGTGACACAAAAATTAACTCTTTGAAGAAAAGAGAACCTCAGAAATCCATCGTTCAGGCAGTTTACAACACAGCAAGGGATGCTGGCGATAAAAGCAGTGTGGATTTATTAACACAGCTGAGAAGCAAAACAAAGGCAGGAAGCAGAACCAACCTGACCGTACAACGACAAGCTTCAAAATAAAAAGACAAGCAAATGCAAAAACATAGCAAGAATGAAGTTTTGGTTGGTCTTGGCAAAATAAAATAAAATAAAATAAAATAAAATAAAATAAATTCTTAGCCATAATCAGGGCAGAATATGACTATCTTACAAAATATAATTTAGTCAGCCCAAGTAAAAAAATATGATAAATTATCCTTTTTGGGAAAGGGATGTTGTCATTTTAACTGGTTGGAGTGTATTCAGCTGTTTCAAAGCAAACTAAAAAAAAGAAGAAGAAGAAAAAAAAAACAATCATTGCAGCTTCTGCATTTTATTTCTGGGAAGAGACATTTCAGAGGAAATGTGTTCTTTTTTTATTATAGTCATATGTTGAGATATGAGGAAATCTGCTTTTGAATTAAATCAGATCATTTCTAGCTTTATAGTTCCGTGAAGAGAAACTCAGAAATGATAGTTTTCTGGTCGGTGAACAGGGCGAACTGTAACGCTGTCAGATTGCACTTACAACACTTTCAATGTGGAAGTTATTTTGCTTATTATTAACGTTTCAAATGTGGTCATAGCACACATGCGCCGAGGTTTATGACTTTATTTATTTATTTTTTTAACAGACGCTGCTGTTTCCACATAAGGAGCAATGCTTCTTTAAAAAAAATAAAATAAACTGAAGTTGCTTTAGTATTTTGAATACTAAATCCAGCATTTTGAGTGCTGGATTTAGTATTAGACACTTTTTAAAGAAAAATTCAGAGTTAAGATTTTCATGTGTATTCCAAAATGTTTCCAACCAGCACCACTGAACAGGCTAATCAGGCATATAAAATGATTAAGAAGTTTAAAAATACCTCCATAATTAACTTGCCCTTAATTTAGGTTGGCGCCAGAACTGTATTTTACAGCCGCTCCACTCTCACACACAGTGTGACGTCACCCTGTAAGCTAGGAAAAGCTAGAAAAAGTATTTGGATGCTATTAATTGCAGCTCTAAAGCGTAAATCCAAAATGGGCTGAAATCAAAGCTTTTTAAAACTGTAAATTAAACACAAAGCTGTGTTAGTAATGTTTCATTCCTCGTTCCTACCTACAGACGGCACACACAAGCTTAGCTGGCTGGCTCTCCCCAACAAGTGAGCTAAGCCTTCTCCCTCTGTCACTGCAAACAGACTTCGAATGACTGGAGAGGACAAGAAAAGGGCCGCTCTGCTCGATTGAGGCCACGCAGAGGTAAAAGATGATTATATACCGCTTGCTCTCTTCGCTGTCATCCCTCAGCATTTCTCTTCCACACAATGACCATGAGGAGAATGGGTTAGAACACCCGTCACCCTGATGTCTCCCTGTCAT